TGAAGCCTGAGCAAAGATCATGTCTGCAGGGAGAAAAGTCATACTGAGACGATTTTCAATTAGCTTTTTAATTAGCCATACCGTGAGAAAGACGGGGCTATTTTTCAGAACACTGTATTTTTTCAACCAGATCTGTTGGCAGCTTCCATAAAATCAAGCCTTTGGACATGATCACTTGTGTGGAACACCAGCTCCATGTAAAATAAACTCTTCTTTCATCAGCATTTTCACAGTATGGCTGCCAAAGAGCATTGGCATGAAAGATAGTTCAGCAGATATCATAGAAACTTTACTTGCAATAGATATGAGAATGCTAAAGGAGGAAAGATTAATTTCAAGGTTATGGTGATAATATACAAAACCTTTTTAAGGGAAGAACTCTGACTCTATTTGCAATTTCGTATCTGGGTGTAATTTGCTTATGTTTTTAATGGTCTAGGTAGACACTTCTCCTGAGCCTTGACATCCATGTGTCCTAGCAACTACAACTTGCTAGATTTATGTTCTGTACTTAAAAAGCTCCCTTGAGACTCTGTGCCTCTGAATAAACTCTTTTGGTTTTTATTCCTGAATTTTCTCTGACTTTCTATTTATCATATTTCCCATGCAAACCATGCTTATGACAAGCAGGTATCATGCACTGAGGCAAACAGTTTGGCAAGGCTGAACTAAGAGGTTCATCAATTAAATTACTAGGACTGAAGGGAAGGGAAATCTGACCCAAAAATCGCCCCATAAACCCACATAGCAAATACACATATGCCTCAGATTTTGGACTTATTTCTTGTCTTTTCATTGTTATAGATAACTAACTGCAAACACCCATACCTTGCTCAGATATGGTTGTGGAGACAAAGAACTTAAGTTTGCATCAGAATAACAGTAAGGGCAGGGTTAGCATAGGCTTCTGAATAGAGTTGGAGACACGTGCCAAACTCCAGGAGAGTGCCACTTTCTACCAGGAAATCTGGGTCCAGCATGCAGTGCAATGACTCCACTGGAAAAATAGATAAAATAGATGAAGTCCTAACAAAACAAATAATCAGATTAAATGTTATTGTGGACAGGTTTCCACTTATTTCTTTCCACTTATTTTTAAGGCCAGAACTGAAGTCTTGCATAATAGGGTTTACATTACACAGAACTCGTTGCCAATGCTGGCCAATAGGACCAAGAAAGCTTGTAGCCATGCAAAAAAAAAAGTCATTTTTTCTAAGCCTCTAACTTATTATTAGGTGCTCTAATGAAGGGGTTTTCCTTTCATCAAACACATTAAGTGAGAACAGGAGAGCCTTTCCCACTGTTCCTGTTTAGCATTACATATCCATCTTAAGTCAAGTCAGGAGTGTAAAGAGCCCACACTGTTTCTAATGAAGCCATAAGCATTTTACAATGAGACAGAAAAGCCCCTGATTTATAATCAGGATAAAATCCTTATTTATTAAAATTAGCCATTCTGGCTTTAACCTACAGAGTAAAAACTGGAATGATGTGTTTTTATGAAGACAAGGATAATTACAGCAGAAATATAAGCAAGCAAATCAGCAGCTTCTCATTTGAACAAGTGAAACCTGCCAAGTGTCTTAGGCCTATACAGGTTAAATTTTAGAGCATTTTTCATTCCAATATTGTATTAAGATCAGTGATTTATTTCATCCAGGTCAACAATCCTTGCTACCTTTTCTTGAATAGCAGGGATCACATGGAAGGCAGGTTTCTTACAGGCAAAGACACTACACAGATGGATTTTTTAAATGCATCAGAGATTGATTCTTAAAACCTCACTCTTTGCTTTCTCTGCAATCAAAACTTATCACACACCTCTGAGCTGATATTCTATTTAAAGTCTTGAGACTGCAAATAGCCAAAGCTCCTTTCCTGCAAGCCTTCATATGATTTTGTCCTGTTTCCCATTCTATTACATTTTAGCAAATTGCCACACTTAAACAAGTTGTTTTGACATGCTTTTAGAAGGGTATGCATCCGCCATAAGGACAGGTTTATAAGAAGTGTGATATTAATTTTCCTCAGTCTCAGCATGCTTGAAGAAGAAAAAAAAAAAAACAAAAAGAAGCTATGTGAGTTACCAGCCTCACCACTCTTCACCTGGGCTCTTGCAAAGACAATGGACAGTAAAACAGTCTCAGAGTCATATTGAGGTGGATTGAGAAGGGGAGAGCAACATGATCCAAAGAGACAGAGATGCTCAGCCATTTCAAAAACAGGGATGCAGGTTTCAGCTTTCAAAAGACTAGTGCATGCAAGCCTGGTTACCATGAAAAGTGTAGACCTTTGGTGATAGTTGAGGGACCTGTAGCACCTCCAATAAAAATACGAAGAAAATGCATCCAGCTACTTAGAAAGCAATTCTGCTTTGTTAGTACATTTTAAGCAAGTCTAGTCCTTTATGCTGTGGTGTCAGAGACTTTGTGCTCTGGCCCTTGCAGAGAAGGAATACAAAGCTCTAATATCTCTCTTTCTTTCAGGACCAGGAAATATCAGCAAGCCCTGAAAAGATCTTAACAGACCAGCTCATACATAGGTGTCTGTTTTACACTCAGAATAGGAACTGAAGGAATCAACACAAGAGGGGGTGTTGCAGGAGTGAACAATAAAAAAGAAAGAAAAGAAACTAATAACATTATCAAGATATAAGAACAAATTCATTGAGTCAGGCCAGAATTCATAACTTGTGTGCAGACTCCCTAGATTCCTATGGTCATTTTGCCACTCTTATTTTCTAATTAAGATGAGTCAGCAATGTCACCTACTTTCATCCAGAGCTGGGATACATCTCAAGAACATTGCTCCAGGCCCAGGTGGGTCATTTTGTCTTTGCACACCTCCATGACTCCACTTCTAAAAAAACCAAAAGCCTTCATTTTTTAGAAAATTTTTTTTCCTCTTTATCATGCAGTGTTTACATTGCCAGGCAGCAGCTGCTGCAGGTAGATAAAACATAGTTTAGCCTTACAGTGTCACATCTATCTCAGCTAAATTATTGCATTGCTATGATCTTCATAGGGCAAGGAGGTTCAGTAGCAGAAAGATGTTGTTGTTTATGAGACTCTAATGATGACTAGTTTAGGCTAAATCAAAAGCCAGAGAGTACACTGTATTGCTAAGTCTTTGACACCATTTCCATAGCTGCTTGCTAGCTTTGAAAAAAATGTCCTCTGCGTATGGTTAGGAGCAGAAGTAAAAGCCTTCCGTAATTCTGTGCTAGAGTTAAGCAATACTAGATTCAAATGTTTCATTTGCTATCTAAAAGTTTATAATTTGTCTTCGATTTCTCTGCAGAAGCAACAAAGTTTACCCATAACAAAACAGATCCTTACAACATAACTCAAGCCCCAGCTGTTTAAACAGCTTTTTTTTTAAAATGAAACAAAAACCTAACAAAATACACCCCCCAAAAACCCAAACCAACAAAAAAATACCAAACCAACACCCAAAACAAAACAAAACAAAAAAACCCAACAAACAAAAAATTCCCAACCCCCCAAACCCAGGAGCATCATCAGGTCTATTTTGATCTATTTAAGAGCCTTTTTTGCAGCATCTGTTGCAAGTTCAGGTTAATTTGAATATGAGCAGAAAAAGCCAGAGAGGCAATGGGCCCCAAAAGGAGTGAATATGTGTGGCACATGTTAATCCTCCAACTTGCTTAAGGATTCAAATCCACCAGGGAGCACAAATTCCATCCGTGGCTCTGCTGCAAATTCAAGGCTTGAACAGCGAACCTTGCTGTGTGCAGCAAGGTGAGCACAGACATGAACCAGCATCCTGCCTTCCTTCTTGCAGCAGAACAAAAATAGGGAAAGCTGAGACTGCCCAAGACTGGGATTGGTGCAGTTTCTGTTCCAAACAGCCTTGTTATACCCATCAGGCCACAGTGACCTCACGAAAGTATCTGCACAGTGAAAACCAAGAAAGCCTTACCTGCATCTTTTGACATGAGAATACTGAGTGTTTTGGTTGGTTGGTTTGAGGCTTGCTTTTTTTGCTTTTCCCCTGAATTCGAAATATCTTACACATCTTGCATGATAAAGGAGGCTATAGGAGCATGAATTTAATGGAAAGAAGACTATGGCATTTTAACCAACCCTATTTTCAGGAACAGCAGTGTAACATGAAATGAGGACGATGGTAATTTAAGCCCATGAGGCCTTCAATACACAATTTACAGCTCATCAGTAATCCACCCTTGGCAGTCCATGAGTGGGGTTGCCTGTGCTGAGATTTGGTGACAGAAGTTAAAAACAGTAGCTATAAAACTGTTACTTTTATCTGGGGAGAGCTGCTGTCAAAAGCTCTTTCTGACAAAAGCTATTTCTGTCAAAACAGAGACTGCACAGCTACATAGGCATTTGGACAAGGTTTTATTATTATTTCTCTTTGATGAAGTTTCACTTCACATTCACGTTCTTGGAACTGAAATCTTTCCAGTTTTCTTAGAAAAAAAAAATTAATTGTACTCAAACAAATTAGGGATTTAAATTTGAAAAAGCAAGCTGTAGTATTGGGAAGTCTCCAGTGGGCTCCCCCACCTTCTATTTTCCTGAGGCTCTCAGTATCCTGCCAGATAGATATGTGTCATGAATACACAAAGGGTAAGAAAGTCTTATCCACTGCATGTAGAAAATAATACCATGCTTGGCTGGCACAGCAAGCTGCACTGTTCTGTCATTGTATTCATAGCATGAAAAGAGAAAAGCAAGACACTGAATAAAGGTATCAGGTGTGACACTTCCTCAGCATAGACCTCCCAGTATGTCACCACTTCTATCTCTAGAACAGAAACAAAATCAGACTACAAACCCACAAATTTCAATCCATTCATGTTCCTGAATCTTTTTTCAGTTACCAGAAGAAAGCCCCTTTATGAGAAAAAATTTCTCTTTCATTAGATGCATTACTGGCAGCAAGAATGGTTCTCCTGGGTACCAGCCTTCCACCAGCTTCTGTCCATCCATGAGAATAAACTTGCAGTCACCCACCTGTCACCTCCCTGCTCCCTGCTGGAAAGACAAGACTGCATCCAAAATCACATCACCAGTCGCTCTCTTTGTTCCCATGCCCCACATTCATGCCCACCGCTTGCCACCAGTCCGCTTTCGAGTGTCAGTGCAAAGACCTTTGCTGGGACTGCTGGTGAAAAGGATCCACTGCTGACAGAGGACAGAAAACAGGGAACAGATTCAAATCTCAAAGAAATACCTCAGGAGGGAAAAAGGGCTTTATTCAACAACAGCTCATATGACAACGGTCTGAAGAACACTCCCACCTGAATGCTGCTGTCTACCTAGTGGCTACACAGGACCATGAATTGCACCTCAAACCAAGGCATTTCCATTCACACTAAGGCAGGTTGAAGGAGCCACAAGAAACAGCAAAATGTGAAAAAAGATGACTCCTTACACATTCAGATTTTCCCTGTTGGCTTGCATGTCTAACCTGAGACAGGAATCAGCCCCTGCTGAATACAGGCTGACAGCTCGGTGGGGTACATTTACTTTGAGTAAGGTGAACAAGGACAGTAACTCAAAACTGCCACAGTGGCAGATTGGAGGTCCGTGCAAAACACAACATATGAATTCAATGTGTTTCCTAATCACAGGTCCGTGTTTTGCACGCTGTGTCCAAACAACCTTGGGCTGTCAGTCTGTTGACAGTAGTAGCCTGTACATGTGTTGGGCTGCATAAGGCTGAAGGTTCCCTATTCCACCATGAGAAAGCCTATCTGTCTCCCTGGTCCTAGTGCTGAGTTTTACCTTCCCAGCTCCAAGTGCTTTCCTGATTACCTGTACGTAATTCAGATTTTCTTCAACTGCTTTGTGCCATGGATGATATTTAAAAGAGCAAGTCGTCATCTTCTTTTGTCAGCTTGTGGTGTATTTCATCTCCCACTATCTCATAAAGTGACAGTTTGATTATAATGTAATTACTTTTTTTTAGTGAACCTAGTGCATAATTTTTATTTCCAGATGGGTTTATATTCCTTATATTTAAACTCATTATGAACAAGAAGACTGCACAGGAAAAATACAAAGTAAGCTGCCTTATTTTTTCTTTAAAAGGTGAACATTTTGAAAGGCCTACAAAGTGAGGGAAAATATACCAGTGTCACATGGTAGAAAAGATTAATTTCAAACATAAGAGCACAAATGAGCTTGAGAGCCCTTCGAGGCATTTACATGGAAATTGAAAAAATAAATGTTTAATTTTCATTGCTTGGAATCTGGTAAAATCTAACAGGCTAAATAGCTTCTATATCCAAGACTCGAGAGCAAGGATCAGAGAGCAGCTCCAAACGACTATGGCAGGGGTTGTGCCAGTTCACAAATTGGTGAAATGAAAGTCTTTTTTATACAGTCAAGTCTCCAAGCCTCCTGTGGCTGGGTACTTGCCAAGGAGCTCGTTTGCAAGTCAAGTATTATTTGTTGATGCTAAGAAGCACAAGCTGATACATTTTGCCAAAACATGTGACAAGAAAATCCATGTAAATCAGCAGTGCTTTGCTGCAGAAACTGTGGTTCCTCTCTGAAAACTGTCTTAGTAAAATGGCACCCTGGGGTCTCCTGTTTATTGCATCCCAGTGACATCCAAATCAAACATGATCAGCTCAGACGCAAGTGATAATGATTTTTTTAACTGCTGCTGCTTTGAAAATAGAAATAAAATTGTACAGTCAAGACATGCTTTCTGGCTTACACATTGGCAGTGTAGATCCTACAACTGGTATTTAGTCAATAATCCTTTTTATGACTCACAATGCAGTTTCTTTTCTATCATCCTGTTTGCAGTTTATTGGCATTACGGGAAAAAATACATTCAAAAGAAAAAAAAAAGTAATCCCAAAGCCAACACATTAACTTGCCCCAAAATTGAAATTAGATCCTCATAAGGGTCCATTTCTTTAGCAATGTTTTTACATCTGCTCAAGTACTTACTCATGCATCTCTTCTGTCCAAACTAGAGGTGCAGGGCAAGGTATTACGTCGGTAACGTGTTTGCTTTTTCTGAAGTGAGAAATTGTTTAAATAAGAACTAATAGAATTGAACATTTTACAGTATGGGTGTAAAACAGAAGCAAGAGATACCATGAGTATATCCACTTCTTTTGTCGTTTTGCCACTTGTGACAGTGCAGATGTGGCTGGATAATGGTGACATTTGAAGTTTGTGACTTGTATAACTTATCAGCACCACCAATCAGGCTGCAACCTGGGAGCAAAGGACCTGCTGCTGCAAACTGCCGTGCTTTCCTCTTGCAACACCTCAGGCCTCTTCCTCTTTGACCAGAGGTTGGTTCAAAATATATTTCCTGAAAACAAACAGATTATTGCTTTAGAAATATATATATATACATATGTTCTTTTTCCCCAAAACAGTTCTAGGCTCATTTTCCCGTATTTCTAAGTTTTAGGCTGCTGATAAGCAGCTTAATATGCTGTAACAAGAATATCGCTTGCTTTTCATGCAGTATCTGTCCAGCAGTTCTCCTGGGACACTTTAAACTAGCATGTAAGATTTTGATATTCCAGGCACGTATTCTACCTTATTCTATTGCCTTGCCACAGACCTCAGTACACCAACTTAATTGTTCATTTGTCTGGGCCTGTCAATTCCTGCATTTCCACACTCCCCCTTCAGTATGAGCCTTCTGTTAGGTGGTGGGAAAACTCAGAGATTATCGCATACCACAACATCATTTATTTACTCTATCAAACAGGAACTATTGATTGATTCAGCTTGTTCAATAGCAAACCTGCAACATTATTTTAGGAAGAAATAGCTTAGTTCTACATAAGAATTGGACCCTAGGAATTCAGATGAAAGATATGAAACGCCATTGCTTTACTATTACCTTTTCAAGTGAAAAAATTAACACTATAATAACAAAATCTAGACATTGTTAAGAAAAGAAAAGGGGAAATCATCTGAGAGAAAAATCAGAGATAAAAACAACTTGTGTTAAAGCCTAGCAGCCCCTGGGGGTGTCATGGAACTTCTGAATAGATGAAGCATTTCTAGTAATTACAATGAATTGAACAAATACTGTCAACTTCAGGTTTGCCACAAAATATCTTTTAAAAAAAAGGACAACTGAATTTTAAATTTTTTATTTTTACTGAAACCAAGTCATTGTCTCAATTAAGTGACTAGGATCTGCCTAGCAGAAAATCTCTTTTGTGTGGTATTTTCAACACTTAAGAAATAATCCCAAATAATTTTTTCCCTTTTTCTTCTTTTAAACACATTTCCTACACTAACTATTCCCTTCCTCCTCAATCAACTCAGATGAGCAGTTTTTGTAGATGAGCTACAGAGCATCAGAAAACCAGTATCACTATTGAAATTACCTTTAAAAGAAAAGTAACTGGAGGAAGTCAGACAGAATTCAAAGACTCATGCTATTGCACATTCAAATTTCATTTTAAAGCCCACAGTAAGACTTAAAACATTGTCCCTGCAGATTCCTCCAGACTCCACTTCCACTTTGTTTCTCTTTTGCCACATATTTTGGCTATTAATCAATGCTGAGGCATCAGATTTTTTCCTGCTCTTCCAGCAGAGGCCACTGAACAGCCCAGGGATATAAACACCGACAGGAAACTGTGGCCGTAGAGTTTACACATCTACCAAACAAGGATTTTGCAGAGTAAAGCCATAGATGGGACTGGATAAGGCAGTGATAAAGTTGGGACCCTTCTCTTTATCCAACACTGAAGAGCAGCTCGACTTCAACTTGCCTGATTCTTTTGCCCACCTTCCAGAAATATGAGTAATAGCTGAATCTGTTTCCTTATGTATTTAATTATTCCTTTGTTTGGTTTCGTTTCAGTCTGAAAAAGAACTGAAATAAAAATTATAATTATGATGGCAAAAAGGACATTTGAAAGCAGCACTTACCAAAATTTCTACTGTAAAAGTGCAAAGGATGCATCTTGAACTAAGGCCACAGCATTGGTCCTTCAGGATGTAATCCAAAGCAGCCTTCAGCTTCTTCATATCAGTGTAACATGAGAAATTTATTCACAAGTGGCACTGGACTAGATAATTTTGCAGTTGTGTTCTCCTCAAATGTAGAATTGGTCCAGAGGTCAGAGCCTTGTCCAGCTAAGCAGCCATCAATATGATGACAGTTTTACAAAACAAAATGCTGAAGTTTCTGTTAAAAACCAACTCCATCAAAGGAGAAAAAAAAAATATGTCAAGAGTCTTATTATATGACTACATTAAGAAGATTTCTTTAATCAATACATGGTATACAGTCCACATAATTCAATTTGAGAAAATTTTAACTAGATTATATCTTGGCAAGAAGACCTTTTAGGTCATTTTAAACTCAATTTTTATCTGTCCAAATAATGAACTCTAGAAGGTTAAGAGATTAGCACTTTAGAGTATGTTTTAGTGCAATCAAAGCTTTCCTGAGAGGAGGCTATTGTACTGAAAATTGTCAGAATCTTGTCTGGATTATCATATAGACAAGAAAAACCCCAAGAATTAATATCTGACACTTTTCTCTGACAAGATGAAATAAGGCACAGACAAAGTGCTAAAAGAAATGCAGTCATTTCCATTAATGAAAAAGCTTACCTCAAAGTGGTTGAAGGAATGCTAGGAAAAAGTAAAGTAACCATTTTCCCAGCACACAACTATAAAGTGAAGAAAATATAAATCTGTAAGAAGTTATTTAAAATATAAGTAAATATCTTATTTTTCAAAAGTAATTCTTGACTCTCTTTTTAGTCATAAATGATTACTGTCTTCCTTTGGATTTTTTTCTTTTCTATGTACGTCAAAATCACAACCCGACTTTTACTCTGTGTTTTTGTTTTCATCTTTAGGGGAAAGTAGCATGTGCAAATCCCAGCATTTCTATTCCCTCTGTCGTGCACTTCCACACACAGAAAGTGGGAGGAGGAAGAGAACTAAGAGGCAGCCTGACCTGCTGCCCTGCCAGAAGGGAGGATCCCATCCTGTGTGTGTCAGTTTGACAGTCTTGTGTCACATGCACTCTTTTGAAATCACCAGCAGCTGAAATGCCACCAGGTCCCTGGGAATTCTGCTTCCAACCTCCACCATCTTTCCTCACCGAGAAGTTTTAGTTTTACTTCTAGTGCAGGGAAACCCACTCCCCCCGAGGATGGGGAGAATTGAGCATTTTCTTACCACCACAGTCCTTTACCTACCGACAGGTCACCGTGTCATCTGTCTCAGTAATCTATACCAAACTGTTCATGTCCTCCAGCCCTTTCTGATGCTGTCCAGTCTCTGACCATCTCATGGACATGGGAAAAGATGCCTTGCAGTGTGCTCCCCCAGCTCTGAGACCCCATGCCCATGGTGGGGGCACAGGGGTACATGCAGAAGCCAGGCTGACAGCTCCAGCAGGCACTTTGGGTAAGGAGCAGCTGCTGCAGCAGAGCCACCCGTGCCTTGTCCCAGTGGGACACGGGGTATCCTGGTTGTGCACTCCATGAGAACTGGGCAGTGCTGCAGCTCATGGCTCTGGCCCCAGAGGAGACTGGTGTCCTCACTGCTGCAATCTGCCATCATTCAACAGTGCGGCCCATCAGCCATGAGGGAAGGCTGATGGACACACCAGCTGCTGAGGAACAGCCCTACAGGACTCCTTGGGGAGCCACAGCCCTGCAGCTTACACTCAGGTCAGCAAGAATTGCAATCCAAGAGCCTTTTGCCTTTAAATTCTCTGGCTTCACCTGGCATTTGAGAAAGGCAAGCTGCTCCATGCTGGCATGCTGTATAGGAAAAGCCTATGGGAGCCTGGGGAGAAGAATGGCTCTATTCCTGCAGGGACTCTGAATGGAAATCCCAAAAAACATTAAAACCAGGAAATGGTGGTGTAATCCGTCCATATTATGAAAACCACTACAGTCTGCATTTACTGTGAATGCTGTATCAGGCTGCAAGAAAGTTCTTTTGCTAGTGCCAACAGACAGGCCATGTGTCATCTCTGGCCATCAGCCTCATTACTGTTTCTGGAGGGTCTGTTTTCCTACTGCCTGATACAGTCACATGTGACTTACTTACATTCTCTGTATGATGAATGGGTAACTTTGGTTATCCAGAAGAAGGGCAATTAAAAACAACACGAGGCCAACCGGACAGAGATAAGTGAATATTAAAACATCTGGGCAGACCAGGTGCTTGAAGATATCACTGAAAAGGTCTTCAAGTAAAAAATAAAAAACAAAACCCCAATGAATTACCACCTTGACAGATTATTAAATGTTTAAAGCTTCTGGCAATAAAAGCTGCTAATAAAGAAACAGTGTAAACCAGAAGACAACAGTAGAAACAGTAATTATACTGCAGAATGATTAAAAAGCACACAGCTATAATGACTCTAATCTATTTTATGAGAGAAACTCAAAGGTTCAGCATTCAAAAAAATAATCAATTAGGGAGCAGGGGAGATGGAAAAAAAGTCTATTTAAACTGAATTCCTAAAATCAAGTAATAAATCAGTCATGAATAATTGTAGGAATTACTGCAGCTCACCATGTTTTGATAACACTGGCTACTCCATCAGAGATTGAGGAAAAACTGCTCACTTTCTCAGCATCCAAAGGGGCTCCACAGAGTAGTCTGTGAGAAATAGTTGTGCTCAACAAATTGTGCTACTTGGCTGGAAGAATATCCAACATGACCAAAGTTAAGATCTTGGTTTGGAGAACTTTTCTTAGTACTTTCAGTTCAGTGGCACCTAAGAGGCAGGCTCCTTAACTGTTAACCACTTTTACATATTGTCTCTTTTCCTCTCCCTGCTCTTCCTTTACGTTTTTCCTCCCCCAGATAGGAGGTGTTCACCTATCAGCTTCTCACAGTGATGCTAGATGAGAAAATGCTGTTCTTGGATATCTACTGCTGTTCTTGGATATCTACCATGACCCCTTTCCTCTGCAGAAGCCAAGGAGTTCAAAGGAAGAACATGAGGACGATGCATGGGAAAATCTGTGGTGATTCCCAGCCCTTCCTCTCACAAAGCACTGTTCCTTGGAACAAGATTTGTGTGCTTGAATGTTGTATTTCACACACTCCTTCATGATTATGGCCAGGCAGCAGGATCCCACCCCTCATCACTTCCTCTCTCCTTAGCTGCTGAACTTGGACAGCTTCTGCCTTGTGGGGAGGGTGTCCTCCAGACAGGCACTTATGTGATGAAAAGCCAGCTCTCACCCAGCCAACTGTTCCTGCTCCTAGGAAGTGATGCTCGCTGTTAGGTAAGGGAAGAGCTTCAGGTGATGCACCCTCTGCCCCAATCCCGTGCAGGGTGGTCCCTGGGCAGCACAATACCGGGCTCTCCCTCCCCTTGGCTTCTCCACCCTGCTCCCTTCCAGATTCCTCGCACCACATCAGCTCCTCGTAACTGCACCGATGTTCACAGTCACCTGCCCCTCTGAGAAACTGCCCTCAGAAGGGAGATTGTTTTCACTGCACTATCGCTGGGTCCTGAAACTATTGACAGGGAATCAGCAGGAGAGACAAAGACTGGTGTGGGCAGCAGCCTGGACTTGGGTAAGATTGAGCGTGCAAAGAAAAAAACTTCTATTGAAAGCTTTCTACACCTGAGCAAAGAACTGTATTATTCTAAAAGTAAAAATATGTTACTCTGTTTCCCTATTTGTCTCCTCCTTGTTCATTCTAGTGAGATTATTTTATATATTAAAAAACAGGGCCTTTCTATATCTTTTATTCCTGTACCTCTTTCCTCCACTGTTCCATTTGCAAAAAAAACTTTGAAACATAGAGAACCTGACACTCCCCTCCAAATATCAGAGAAAAAACCCCAGTAGCTTCCACTCCACAAATACTGATATGTCTATATGAAAAAATCTTTCATATGGGCTCTTTTTAGCATGGTGGTGTTGGAGACTTGGTCTGACTGACACGTCTTGTTTGCTATTACCCCCTTCAAGGCCTGTGTGTGCCAGGATGAGATCCCTGCTCCTCCGTCTTGTTCAGAAGATGCTGAAATGCTTCTGAGAGCAGAGGATTGGATTTGACTAAATGCACCAGATGCAAGGATTAAGTATGAAATATAAATAGCAAGAATGTGGATCAGATCACATGAAAAAGCAATCTGTGTGTCAAGATAAAAATATGATTTCTCCTTTGATGCTTTCCTACGTAATTTCTGGTTTTGTATTTTAAATAAATACATTAAAGGAATTTTTAATATTGTGATTGAGCACCTCAACTTTCTGTAAAGTAGGCATTATACCCTTAACAACCAAATATTTAAAAATTCAATTTCAGAAGAAGGGGAGAGATAAACCAACTCCAGGAAGGACTTAGCTGTGCCAAAGCTGCTCTGCTTCTCAACATCTCCCCAGAAAAAATAAGCATTGATCATTATCACCATACTATCCCTCCTAATTTGCTTACTGTTCAAATTTCAGAGTGGGATGCAATTAATTAATATGGGTTTACATGTGCTATGTTTTTAGACCTAGTATCTATTGACAGCCACTTGACATTAATTATTTGTATTATTGACCTCTTTGCATCATAGACAGCTCTCTGGAGAAGAGCTTGGGAACATACCAGAGGTGGAGAGGCACAGTTGCTGAAGGCAGGTAGGGAGATGCTGCAGTTGCACTTGTGCAGACTGGGAGGGCAAATATTGCAACACTCTGAGCTCAGGGTGCTTTAGTTATTGCTATTGTTTTCATCAGTGAGGCTCAAAATGGAAGAAAAGCGACCTCAGTTGTTTTAAATCCTCGCTGCAAAGGCATAGTGTGACCCTACTGAGCTTTGAGATGTGCCTGTGGCACAAAAGACAGTGAGAGACTTCCCTTGCTGCATAGAGGTGTGAAAAAGCAGCCCAGGCCACCCTAGCTAGGCACTCACGAGTAGGTGAACTGAAAGTCAGACAGTCCCCCAGGTTTCCAATAGGGATGCATACATACAAAATTAGCAAATAAACAAGTCATATAATAATCAGAACATTAAACTTCAGAAACAGCACCAGAGAGACAAAGTTCTAGTTGTAGGGACACAAATCAGATAAACCTGAGCACCACTGCCACAGGTGGAGCAACAAAGACTCAGTGACAAAAATGGGGCAGGTACCAGTCTGAGGGCAGATGATCCCCACAGGGATGCTAATGGACAGCAGTCAGGAGAGCAACCTTGACATAACTTGGGTCAGTGTAAAACCTTCAGCTGTCTGAGAAGGCCTCACCCAAAAGCTCATAGTGCAGGGAGGAAATTAGCAATGATGAAGATTCATTAGGCTGACCATCAGCCAGATTAGAATGCAAGAAAGGGAATATTAAGAGACCTTGAGGGCAGGAGTCAGCTTGAAAAAAAATATAAAGATACAAAAATTTGTGACTCTGGAGACAGACATTGGAACAGGAGAGTGGTAGTCAAAACCCAGCTAGAAATTCAAAAATTTCAGGCCTTTGATAATGTTTGAATGTCTACTGTTGTAATTTACATTGTTGATATTCATCTGGAACACGTATTTCACTGATTGTATTTCAATTATTTTTTATTAAAAAAAAAAAGTAAATCAAAATACTTGGATCATGATTCTATTTAACCACATAACTTGTACAGGACTTTTCCTGAGAAAGTAGGCAAAATAAATGACACACATTGGATAGTAAGGAATGAAGTTATCAGAGAAACAAATTGCCCAGAGAAAATATTTCCTACTCACCTGTAAGTGTTGAAGTTGGGGTAAGCACCCACCCAATACTCTCATGCTGCAGTGAGCTGAGGCAGGATGCTCACCTTTTTTTTCCTTTGCCTTGTTCAGGCATTAGACCAAAGACAGGAATCAAATAAGAGAAGATTAAAACCTTTCCACTCAGAGAAAAGTTCTCCCCTTAGTTACATGAGCAATAGTAAGAAATTCAATTTTTTCCTCTCCACATGCATTAGACTGTGCAGTAGATTTTAGGGCAGTGCAAACAGAGGAAACTTAATACCAATACAGGATGCTGCTTCCCAGCCAACAGCACATGAGCAGAGAGCCACCACTGGAGGTACCGCTGCTCTCCAGGTCAGAGGAAGACACACCTGTGCTTTTCATATTTATGGCTTCTTCTGTGACTCTGCAGCAGAAAACAGGAAGCGACTGCAGATCATGGAGCTATTTAATGATGAAATACTGTATTAATGACCACCAGAACAGATTTAGAAGCTTCAAGCTTTAACAGCTGTCCCTAATCATTTGTCACTTACACCCCAAGAAATGCAGCAGCAGAGCCTTTGTCTCCTTCCCACTAGGTGATTCTCGCTTTTTGGGGGTTTTTCCTTTTCACAGTCAGATGCCAGCTCACTCCTCTTATTTTGCTTTAAGCACACGATGCAACTCCCAGAGGTCTGCTGGTATCCTCTGTACCCCAAACCCAACCTCGAAAGGTCCCTCTCAGACTGAAATGCACGTTTGTCTCTGGCGGCCTTGCTCCGTTTTGCGGCGTGCTTCGACTGCCAGAGCAGCCAGCTGGGGCAGTAAGTTAGAGAAAGACGTCGTTCCCATAGTAACTCATTTTCTCTACCCGCTCATTAGATTAACACATTTTAGATCAAAGGTAGACATGAAAATATCTCAGAAATGATAGTCCAAGGCTTTACTTAAATACGAACTAAATCCACTGCACTATCTTAAAAAGCACTGCTTAATATCAGCACATACATCTATAGCTGCCTTGCTCATTGAGCTCTCCTACCTCAAAGTTGTCAAAAGCACCGTGGATACTTCATTTTGTTGCTAGTTTGCAGGCAATTGTTTAAGTACACAAACGAACAGGTACTCCCCACTATCACATCAGAGCTGCAACCAAGCGGAGAAGTTCACCGTCTCTGTGATCAGCTCTTGGTGCACTCAACATTCAGGTAATGTTTGCAACTTTGCTGCAGAAAAGGTCTGATTCACACTCCCAGTGGCAGCAAATCTCTTATCAGTTTCGCCTGCCCCAAATTCAATTTTGTTACATTTTTAGTAGTCCAGCATGCATTGACTTAGTGGAAGTTCAAGCCCAAGGAACAAATTCATGTGCCAACACCATGTGTCCAGAAAATACAAAAAGCCTGTGGGCTGCTTCTGCTCCATCATCACACAGCAACTCTGCCATGCACCAGAAAGAGCAAAAAACAATCCTGATACTGCATGGATTCTTTGCCACTGAATATTTCCAATAATACTTTCTCACAAAATAGGCAGGACAGAAGGTTAAGGGATGAGAAACCCAGAGCTTTATGTAGTGTTTCTTTTTCGGTTCCGGAATATTTTTTTTCTCCTGAAAGCGCAACTCTACAGATGGAATATGAGCCAGTTCTTCTGATTCCCTTTCTTGTCATTCCTCTCTCCAAACTGATTCTATGGTTCTCAGGGGGTTTCGCCAAGTATATATGCATACTTACACAATACCTTCAATGTGTGCTGCTTGTGCAAACTGCAGTTGGTGTAATGAGTCCTGAACATGCCTGTTATGTTACTGTAATGCAAGCACTAACCATGAGCTTGGTAAAAACACTGTCTTAATCCTTTGCTGAGATCCAAGTAAAGACTACTTAAACCTAACAACATAATTCAGAGGCCGACTCACACTGGTATTTTCATGTCAGTGTCCCCTGTCCATTTTTGTCTGAGAAATAGGATTTTCCCAATGACAGCCCGCAATTTCACCAATCTGTTAGAATCACCAGGAATTGAACTTGGCTCTTTTTTTTTTTTCTCTACACCTCTCCTTGTCAGAAATCTCATTTGTCAGCTGTGCAGCTTTGGTGCTCCAGCTTGCCCCAACAACATCTCACCTACTTTTTCCTCGGTATAGCTCCTCACAAAAGTGCAATTTGCAGGTGACAAAAAATAATTCTCATCTCAGAAAGTTACCCCAGAGTTCCATGCAAAAATTCATACAAAAGGTGTGATGTATATTAAGAACTTAGATGAGCCAATGCTGTTCATCATTTCTAACAGCAAAGTCAGTGCAACCCTTTGCCTGGTGAGGTGGGGGCAAATGTTATGTGGGTCCCAATTAAGATCTCTCACATCAGATACTGTAATGCCCTCACCTAATAGCTTCACAGTATTGACTCATTTTAATTGTTCCTTCATTTCCTTTTGTCTCATTTGGCTCTCTGACAGTCCGTCCCTTATCTGCTTTACTCCTGTAAAGAAAGGTATCACCATATTCTTGGAAGATAGCTCACATAGACTCTTCAGTGCTGGATGGTGCATGACTGGGTCTTTGCTTTTGTACTGGGGGCTCTCTGCTGCTTTCTGTCACCTGGGGAGACTGAAATTCAGTCCTAGTTTTCAAGTAAACTGCAGATGAAAGAGACATTGCCTGCTTTGTTGTGCTGTAACCTTAGGCTAGAGCTTTAAAATATATATGATTTTGGTCATTAAAAAAACTGTAGCTTTTTCCTGTCATTTATGTTCTCTATACTTTGTGCCTCATTAGAAACATGAGAGGAATCCAGGCACTACAACAGGATAGAAATGCCAGCCAGCAGCCAGTACATTTTGAGTGTTAAAATGCACACAGTAAAATGGTAGTTGAATGCAAAGAACAAACAGTTTTTCTCTTAGCTTCTATTATTTTCTCCATTTAAACTATAGTAGTCAGAATAAAATCACAGACTTTTCAAATGATGAAAGGAAGCCCAGTGGTA